AATGTTACTAGAATCTTGGACTAATTTTCTGTGCAGTTTACATCCAAATTAAAAGTATTGGGATTTACTAGACAGTTCATTTTAATATACATTACATATTAATTAAGAACGTGAATAAATAATATGTAATGCAATGAATTATTTTCAATTACGCGACCTAAATTTACTATTAATACTGTGTAGAGTCATTAGCTTACTTTCACGTGAAGATTGATGACTAAAGCTAAACGAAAAAAAAAAAAAAAAAAGAAAAACATTTTAAGCGGCTATCACAACGGCGCTGAGGGGGGATCTCGGGGGCCAGTATTACTGTATAAAGTGAACTATCATGTGGGCATTTGTCGACTCACACTGTTTACACACTGAATATTCATGAAATAATGCTGCAAAGAGCCAAAGCATTCTTTCCATGTTTTGTTGCGGTGCAGCGTAAAGTTATTCGTAAGTCTCATGATCGACTTTGCGCAAAAGCGCAGTGAAGTTTTCCAGTTGCTTAACTTTCAAGCTTCTTTGTTTTCTACATATACAAGGTCGAACGTATTGTGACAATGTAATGAACGATCTCATCATTTGCAAAATCCTCGTACAGAGGCTGTGGAACTTTTAAAGCCTTTTAACATTTTGTAGAGTAATAATTTTTTTAATACGAGAGATTTTCTAGTTTCTTAACTTTCAAGCTTCTTTGTTTTCTACAACTACAAGGTCGAACGTATTGTGACAATGTAATGAACGATCTCATCATTTGCAAAATCCTCGTACAGAAGCTGGGGAACTTTTAAAGCTTTTTAACATTTTGTAGAGTCATAATTTTTTTAATGCGAGAGATTTTCCAGTTTCTTAACTTTCAAGCTTCTTTGTTTTCTACAACTAAAAGGTCGAACGTATTGTGACAATGTAATGAACGATCTCATCATTTGCAAAACCCTCGTACAGAAGCTGGGGAACTTTTAAAGCCTTTCATCATCTGGTAGAGTCATAATTTCTTTTTTAATGCGAGAGATGGTCAAAATGAAAATGACATCGCCCGGACTCGAACCTGAATCTCTCAAATACGCGCTGGGTGTCCTTGCATTACACCACAAAGGCATTTTGGAAGGAGGGAGAAAACACTTTTACTCCCCCTTTTAAAGGACAACTGGGGATTAGCATATCCAATCGCCAAATCCTGGTGGTAACGAATTATTGTCCACCCCCTTTTGATTCGTGTGCCACTGTAGAGTCATTAGGTTTTTTTTTTGAAGCAGAAGATGTAAACAATTTTCAATGACCTTGTCGGAACGCGAGCCTGGATCTTTCGAATAAGCGTCAAGTGTGCTGTCGTTACACCACGAAGGCATGCTGGAAGGAGGTAGAAAATACCTTATAAATTTATATTACTTAATGTAGTATTTATTGGTAAATTCCTGAGATAGGTATTGTTGTTTCTAACGTAAACATTTGCCTGGCTCATGAATTTGTATACACTTCCATAAAACTTCAATTTCTTTCATTAACAAAATTAGAAAACTTTCAAGAGTTGAAAATTCTATATTTAATTGATTCAGTTAATAATAGACATAGATATTATTATTTCGAAAGTCGACTTTTTTAAAACAATTAAAATCAATCACCAGTCACTACACTAAAAACTAAGTTCCTGAATTTTTTGTTCCAAAAATAAAATATGAATAAAGAAAAACCTGCTAATGTTTATTGGGCGAGTTAAAGCAACAAGAATCAAAGTAAAATTCATAAATTTGCAGGACAAATTTCAAAGATTTAAATATAGAAACTTCTTTTTCACCTGCAGACGAGCAGACAAGGCTTAAGCATCTGCAGCTGAAGAAGAAAGTTCTATAATTAATCCTTCGAAACTAGTCTTGAAATTTATGAATATAACGCTGCTTCTCGTTGCCTTGACACTTCTCGTGTGAATAATCCTTATTCGCGTATTATTTTAACTCGTACCTGCTAATATATTAGAATGAAATATAATTTAAAAATTCCTTTTTTTTTGTCACTTAACGTAAAATTTAATTGCTACTACTTTGAATAGCACGACAACATTTTAACTCTTTATAGTTCATATTTCACTTGAGAAACTTGAAAAATTCACCTATTAAGGATTTATTGAGAGGTATAACTGTCATTTATCGTAATGCATCCAAAAAAGAATAAACTGTTTAAATGGGCTTAAATTCTTCGTTCGTCCGTTAACATAAACATTCGTTAACGTAAATTTAAATACACATAAACTGTCATTATAAGCACTGTCTGATGTAGAAGGAGTTTACTGTACATTACTGTAGAAAGAATCACTGCACATTTTATGCAATTACTTATCATGCCTTTCGTTTTTCGTTTTTATCTTTCTATTATTAGATAAAGTGAATACAAGAAAGGTAGTACTTTCTATGAGGTTTCCTAGAATTGGTTATTAGAGGGAAATTTTAGCCACTTTTTGGTTAGTTATTTAAATGTTGTAAAAAGTATTTTTTAATATTTTTTAGCGATTCCTTTCAAGATCACAATATTCCTTTTCCTTTAATTTCACGTATAAAAAGAAACCGAAATGTTTCTTTTTGCATCAACTTTGCCTTGCATTTCTAAGCGAAAATGTTTTTGAAATCAAAACTCTCATTTGTGTTTCTTTCATTTCAGAATTACTATACCAAACAAATTGCTCTGAAGGTTTTATTTATTAATAAACACAAGAATATCGGCATACAACCAAGTACTACATATACGCATAATTCGGAGCAAATTTCGGAATCTGTAACTAGCTGTATAATAAAAAACTGGGACCATTTATTAAGGGAACTTTTAAATTTAGGCTATTATAGTTTGCCAAGTAAATTCTTAGACCTATATCGAAAGGAGGTTGCTGTTGTTTAAGATACATAGTAAGGAAACTTAATGATACTGTTTATGTGATAGAATCCTTAAATATAAATTCAAAATAATTTTAAAACACTTTTCGTTTTAGAAGATTATTCATTTACATTAGCACGTTATAAGCAACTACATATTATTTCAGATAGAGATTATTTCTGAAGAATCATTATTTTATTTAATGGCTCCGATGTTTTGTTCTAAAAAGCCACTTGGGAACGTTCGAACACAGTTTCTAGGAGACGGTCAAATTTGTTTAAAATTTTCAGCTATATTATCTTTGAAAAGACTCTAAATTCTTTATTCAATAGCATAAAACAACGTTTGGTCCTCAACCAATAACATAAGTGTGATAATAGAGTCCTCTATGGGAATATTCAGGAAAAATATTCAGGAAAAAATGGCAGGCAAACTGAAACCTGTCGTTAACATAGAGTTTTAGCCATCAATATAAAACTCCTGGCAAGCTCTATATTTTAATTACAAGGACACATCCATCCTGAAATTGGTTTTGGAGGAAAATAATTAATGCAATTCTTAATTTCTAGAGGTATAAAGAAAATAACTTAAAAAAAACTCAGATATTTTTAAGCAAATCAGAATTAAATTACACAAAATATTTTCCGTGTATGATTTTGAATCTATTTGAAGTTTACACCAATAATATTTCGTATTTACCTTTTATCTAGCTTTAAAATATCATTAGTAAATGCATTATCATTTAATTCTCAGTACAATGAGAAAGAAGTTCTTGTATAACGTTTTTGGTGTTTCTGCTTATCTTAAGAAATTACGTACTTACTCTTAAAGCTACGCAAAAAACAGTTTCGCAGTTTTTTTTTCACAGTTAACTGTTGTGCATAAAATAGCGTTCAGATAAATTATTTTAATTATGAAATATTCATTTGATTCTAGAAACCGGAAAGAAATTAATTTTTTAAAAAGGTGCTTTTGTTTTTCCATCGTTTCGATTAAACCATGTTTCAGTGTAGTGGAATTTGGTCAAGCAGGATTTTACTGTTTTTGCCTTAAAAGTCAAAATACCAGATTCTCAGGAAATAGGAATTACATTTCCTTTACTCAAAATTCAAAGTTTTAAAAATATGCTGTACAATTCCTATTTGAATTATTTTATATTATCTATATACAATAACTTGAACAGAAACTTTACATTTTCTAAGCTTATTTATTTTTACTTCTGATTTTATTTCAATAGCAAGGGCCCTGGCTATGGCTGCTTTACACATTTGCCTTTTTAATTAGAAGTCTTGAAGTCTACTCGTTATGAAATATGCTATGTATATTATTCTCAAGGTCACAAACAGAATAACTATGAAGGTTCTAGGTATGAAAAGTATTTAAAAATACAGATTTTTCTTAAATTTTTTCATGGACGATAGATTTCTAGGAGGTGTGAAAAAGAACCCTTTTTATACATAGTTTTAATGTAAAAGAAAATCGAAAATATTACGTACTATGCATTTCTGTAGCAAAATTTTATTGTAACAATTTTTTATCATATTTTTACTACTGTAATAAAATTTAAGACAAATATTTAAAAAATCATGAAACCCCTTAAATTTGGAAGCAATGAGATTGGATTCGTAATATCAAATCAACCATTTTTGCCTATTATCTAAGACTTTTTATCAAAGCAGAAGCAAGTTTTAGAGAAGTTGCACACCGGAAATTAAGATCTTCTTAAGTAAAATAAATCCCACGAATACGGCTGTGTTACTGCTATAATAGATTAAATAGAAAATAGATAATTCATTAAAAGTTTCATCATTAATTAATAATAAAATCTGGCTGAAAAAACATGATTAACATAATTAAAAAACTTCTAGCTGAAGAAATATAACTTTGAGAGTAATACCTTTTGGATAACATTAATCTGGCAATGAGTAAACTTTAAAGGTGTTTTCTTCTATTTATAAGGAACATAATCGTAATATTTCACATTTAGCAATTAAAAAAAGTAGGAGGGCAAACAATTTTGCTTTTTTCAATGATACCAAAGCTTAGTATGTGCCAAATGAAAAACAGTTTATCTAAAATGAAACAAAGCTTTACATGGTTTTAGAATTTCAATAGAAATTCCTAAAATACTTCCAAACTTTTGTACTTACCATTCGTCCCATAAAGCAAAAATCGGTTAGCGAGTGGGTAGCAGATCTTTCCAAATATCCGGAACTTTAGCTCAAGATTCATGCTTGATAAGTTTCCTTATGTCTCAAATATTTACTTTTCGCTGTAAGAAGATCCACAGAATACCTGAAAAGAATATATATCGTAATTTAAATTTAAGGCTGAAGTCAAGTTAAACTTAATTTTGTTTACCTATAATACTGAACCTAGTGCATCTAGAAAGGATAACTGAACCACACATATCTCTCAACAAGTGTCAATCTTAACCCCCAAATAATTGTAATACATACTTGGTTTATATTTTTGAATTAATTTCTGAATAACGTTTTTAGCATGTAATATTTCCTATTCCTAAACATTTTTTCTGACATTTTGACTTGATGCTATATATTTGGGTATCCATATATAACTTCTACGGTTTTCTTAATTTCAAGAATTCTTGAGTGAAAATTTAACAAAAATAGATGCATTTTAATTATATCAATCAATATGAGCATTTAAAGCGATTATATTCAACTATGTTATTTTGTTCTTAAAGAAGAGGAATTGAATGGAACTTCCCAGAAAAATACTTAGACTTCATATACTTAACAAGTGTACGTAACAAGTATAGCATTACTTTATATATGAGACTAGAAATTAATCAGTTATTTTTTATGTTTAAATTTTAGGAAAAATTAAGAAAGTATAATAATTTGTATTATCTGGTGACATTTATTAGAAAAATAGTAGATTTACGGTTGCGTCATTAGAAACCAACGATCGAATAAAAATATTATCAAAATAAAAATAATTTTTAAAAACAGAAATAATACCAGTATATCAATCCTTAAAAATTTTTCTAAAGTATTTCCACTTACCTGAAGTTTTAAAACCTCGGCACGGAGACTTGCATAAAAGTTAAAAATGCAATACAACTTACTTGAAACAGTAATGGTATTTTACCTTCTTATGATAATAATTTTTAAGGTATTCTACTTAGTTTTAATTGCATATCTTGATAAATAGCCTTTTAATTCCTATTTTGATCATTATGAGTGTTATAAAAGTAAATGATCTTATTAAATAATTCCAAGAGCTTTCACTATGAGATAAATTTTACATAGAAAAATACAAAACATACTTACCTTTGTTAAGATGATGCTGGTCACCTGGCAGCTTACCTTGAAATGTCTCTTACCAAATCTTTTTGACGGAAATGTTCAGAAACGTGAAATGTCAGTTTTAAGAAAATTTCTCTATCTGTGACTTTCGATATGGGATGTCCAATTTTATTAACATTCCTTACCTCATCACTTTAAGCTAAAGATGGGAATAACCTTCTTTTCGAAAGCACACGAACACATCAAATTATCGCAAGCGCGCGTTTCAACACAACGCTTCAAACTTGACGCCGGTGGGACTTCTGCAAACTTTCTAGCGCACACGAAAGTTGCGGGCGCAGTCTCCGATGTCACTCCCAGCGATGAGCTCTGCTTTCTGAAGAGAGTTCGATCGGCCAAGTCCGGCCGGCTTGCTCCCCCTACTTTAGTCCGGCTGGTCCGGGCGCCTTGAATGCATGCGTGCGCATGGATGTGTGCTCGCGTATTGATCTTTCATACTTACTCTCGGCACTTATGAAAGTCATCCCCCCTGTTCTTTTATGGTAGGAGGGGGGTTTGAAAGCCATATTTCGCTTTGACACCCCAGAGGAGTTTTCCCTACTGTCGGGTTTGAACTTGTGCCCAATTTCTAAAAATCCGTATTAGAATAAGGAAGTAATTCATGTGTCTATCTGAAGTCCGCTTCATCATTTAAAATATTAGCTGATGAACTGGGTTCGAAATTAATGCTGTGAGTTGAACATACAACAGTCGAAAAAGAAGCTAAATTAATAGTTTTCCAATTAATCTTTTGCAGTTACTGACGAATAAAAAGTAATTAGCTTGTCGAAGATTTGATTTCACTGTTTCATATACTAGGTGCTCAAAATAAAAATGTTTTTTTTTCTTGAGTGTAAAAGTACCACTCTGTTATTTTATTTAAAACTTAATTTGCTATTTTTACACTAACACTACTTTTAAGATTAAATACGCACAGAGCAAGCAATATTAATTTTTGCCATATGTTAACCTTTAAGATTATGCATTTTAGTACGCATTTTATTTTGAAATTTTCACCTTTAGGGAATTAATTTATTATATATAATTTATTTTCTATCTTAAAAGAATAAACTACTAGAATTTACTTTCGTACATTCACAAGAATTGCTCAAATAAAAGTTTTATTTCTTAGAGTAAAAAAATGTAATTGTAATAAAAATTGTAATTGGAAAATTGTAATAACCACCCTGTTATTTTATATTTGTTCATTTGTTAATCTTTACACTAACGCTGCTTTTACGAATAGGTATGAACTGAGCAAGTAACATTCGTTTTTACCATATATTAACAAATGCGCAAATGTTATGCGCAAATGTACTTCGAACTATCGAAATTCCAGGTACAATTTCTGACTGTCAGAACTCAACTGCTAACAGTACATTAGTTAGCCTTGCTGATAATGAAGCAGTCTTATTTATTTTATGCTTAAATATTTATTAAGCATAAACTTTTGTTATTAATTTTTATATTATTTTCATATTATTTATTCATTATTAAATTTGTATTATTTATTAACTTATTTAATCATTAGAGTGCTATTAATAAATATTTTATGCTTAAATATTTATGAATGCAATAAACATATTATTTTAATTAATAAATATTTAATGCTAAAAATGTTCAGTCTCTGGCCATTAGATAAAAGAATAGTAAAATAAAGTATAGAAAATATCAATTAAAAAAATCACATGGAAGAGAAAATATATTAAAATTGCTATAGTGCTAAAATATATCGACAGCTTTTTTACATCTTATGCAGCCGCCATGTTGTCATGTTGGCTTTTATAACTTCTGGCTCGAGTTAGAATCCCGGAAAAATCATGTATTTATGTAAGTATGTAGTGTCTCTGTAGTCTGATTGCACTCGAAGTACTGACAAGCAGAAAATCCTCTCGAGAAAGTTATGGTGGGAGAAGATGAAGGAGAACCTTGAATGTGGTTCCTGAGAGTTTTGTATCCGAACTGGGACGGAATTGAGTAACTCGTGGTACAATACATATACATATGTATACATCTAGAGAGAGATATATGTATTTATAGAAGAAGAAGTGAAGTAGTAGAAGTGTTTATATGGGCAATCAAAGCTAATATTATTTTATTTACAGTTATAATTTATTATTATTATTATTTCTTGATGTAGACGTGTTTATATGGGCAATCAAAGCTAATATTATTTTATTTAAAGTTATTATTAATTATTATTTCTTGATGCAGTATTAATTAATTCAATCGCACTTAGTTTTCAATATAATAAGTTTAGCTTTAACTAAGTTTACAAGAACGTTTTCATGCACGTTTATTTACACAAATAAATTCAATTATATGTACGTACATACACATATATTAAACGTTAAAGACGACGCAAATTTTTCTAGCTTTATGTATATTTTTAGGCCACGAGACTTATAAACTGCTGCATCAAATCTCTGAACAATTTTCCATTATATGTTCTGAACAAAAAGACGCATATAAAAACTCTGCGCAGTTCAAAATCGCTTTAATTAGGAGACACTACATATAAGTATGTGACTACATAAACAAGTCGTAATAGTGTAAGAATGAAAAGGAAAATTAAATCTTTGTCGAATACGTTACAAAATTTCTTTTGCTTTGATTTTGAGTGCTTTCAAAATATGGTATTTTACCGTTAGGAAGGGTTATGAAATGATTGAGAATCATGGAAACTCATTTAAATGTGTTCAAATAGAGAAGGCTAAATCAGATTCTCTTCTTCGTGGACGGCAAGTAAAGAAAGGACATTTTTCCCTTTTGTGCCAAAATCAGCATATTAAAGTAAACTACAGTAATTAGAATTAAAAATGAAAAAATGTGAAAAATTTAAAGCAAAGATAAATTTTGATTTGCCTAAGTTCTCTTCATTAGGATACATCCACAAGGAGAGTGAAATAGACTTTCCAGATCCCTCTTAAAATCCAAGCTATAAGTAGTATTTTAAAAACTGTTTAATTAAGAAATCCAATTAATAAATATTTGAAATCATAAATAATTTATTAAAAAATTGGAATAATCAATAGCCAATAATGCAAATTATCCACAGTATGAGTTGCATTAACACATGGTACAAATATACCCATAGGTAAAATGACGAACAAAATCCCAAAACCTGACCCATCACCTCCGAAAACCTAAAATTGTAAAGATAGTGTAGCATCTGAAACCAAAATTACGTAAAAATTAGAAGTTTCCTTGTTACTGATGCAAGTTAAAATACGTAAAAGCTGGAGAGAAATACCACGTGAGCTACATGAATACATTAAATAATTCATTAGGATTTTTTATACGGGAGACGTGAAAAATGAGCAATGGACTAGCCTGAACTCGAACGTGGACGCGCCGAACGTGCTAACAGTTATTCGTACACCACGAAGACATTCTGGAAGAAGGGAGAAAATACCTTATAGCGTGATGAATTAAAAATCTATCATACAACAAGCAAAATGTTTAATCTTAACTAAAAGCAAATATACATGATTAATATAATTAGGAAAATAGTTATTTCGAAATTCAATAAAACACTGAAGCAAGTCAAAAATTAAGAAACTAGATGAGTGAAGAGAAACATTCCTTATTTCCCTCGCAGTTGTATAATTTGCAAAACACTAGGCGTGCTTTTAATAGCATTTTTTTGAATTCGTTTTCTTTTGGTGTCTGAGTTACATATATATACACACTCATTAATATATATATGTATATATGCATGCAAATGTATTATTTCTGTCATTTTAAAATTAATTTAAAATCGTAAACCGAAAATAAATTTTTATAACCGTTAAACGATAAATAAATAAACGACACGAATTCACGTAAAAGAAGAATATTTGATGTATAAATAAAAGACTTCTCACCATACCAGAAAGAAAAACTTTACTGCTTGATAATGTGGCATTTCAGGCTTTGATGTAAGAAGAGAGACGATAATAAGTCGCCTATAAATTTTGACGAAGGCAGCTCTAATATTTCTTCTTTTAATGCAGATAAAATGTCTAAAAAATCTATAAATATTCTATAAGTAAGGATTCGAATACATTTAACATATATAACGAGCTTATTTATTTAACATATTATACAATGTAGTTAGTGTAAGCTTTAGTGCTATGCGCAAATCAAAATAACTATTTGCATAAATAGTTGACAAAATGATTTTTATAAGGATACTTTTTAGTAAAACATACGTTAAAAATATGCGAACAATGCAAAATTACTCGAATACAATATGCTCTTATTTAATATTATCCGCATATAAAACATCTTTTTTTCGCTATTAAAATTTTACCTCTGTAACAAGTTTTATCATCGTTAATATTTTTATAATTGCAAATTTTGTATTTTAATGAATTAAATCCTGTGAATTTACAAGTCAAATTTGTAAGGAATTTTCTCCTTCCTTACTGCGTGCCTTCGTTGTGAAATTGGAAAACGTCCTGCTAGCAATCAGAAGGTAAGGAGCTCAAATCCCGGAGGAGCCATTGCACATTTCTCACGTCTCTTTGTTTGAAGTAGAATGCCTAATGCTTCATATCTCCTGGCTGTGAAATTTCGAAGCATTATAAGTTGCTTTACACGGACACTCGAACTAAAAGGTGTTGGACGATAATTTGTCACCACCAGGATTTGGTGACTGTGCTCTTTCTATCCAATCAACACTTAATTGGGAAGAGGATTTGGTGACTGTGCTCTTTCTATCCAGTCAACATTTAATTGGGAAGAACATAAGGAATTTTTTTCCATCCTTTTCACGCGCTATTGTGATGAAATTAGAAGCATAAGCGCTAGCATTTGGGAGGCCCGGAGTTCGAATCCCCATGAAGATATAGCTAGTTTTCTTTTTTGTACGTTTCCCTTCTTCGAAAAAATCAAATGGACTTCACAAAGTTACCTTAAGTAATAAATGAGTTTAGTACAGAGATATTCTGAATATTCAGCTGCACATATCATATTATAAATTTTCGGGTTTTTCAATAATATTCCAAATTTTAAACTTTTTAAAATCCAAATTAAACAGTTTACCTATTTAAAAAATAAAATTAATAAGCAGGAGAATCAAACTTCCTTTTTTGACTTCCACACAGACATCACTTTTTATTTTATTGTAATTATAATAATAAAATTAATAAGCAGGAGAATCAAACTTCCTTTTTTGATTTCCACACAGACAGCACTTTTTATTTTATTCCTAGATCACCACAGGTAGAAAGAACCTAGAAGTCATAAAAATTATTGGTATTGAAATTGTAATAAAAGACATGATTTGAGCAGCCTGAATGCTGTTTGGGCAAATTTTTGTTTTTCAATG